AGTAAAATACATGACGTTGTATTAAAGAACAAAACTTTCATTTCAATTTTCGGGAAAAATACACCTTTTTGGGTTAACTTTAATAAAAATCCATGGTGTTATGTTTAAAAAACAATACTTTGATTTCAACTTTGATTTCACATATGGTGATCACCATGTAGAGGTTTCAAATTAATACACTGCGTTGCTCACAAACAACGGAGATTCTCACCCAAGTAGGTTTTAATTCGTTTTCCAAAATACTGAATTTGAAAATATAGATTATCATATATTATACCAAAATTTAAAAGCTTTTCTCTCATTTGTCCAGAAATTTTAATAGGACACACAATATTTTTCTTCTTTGTGTGCCATCTCCTCTAAGAGGGTTGGTTATCATCATGGCGATCTTCACTTTAGAAGTGGCTGCTCGGAATAATTCTATTGGTGTACAGTGGCACAATGGTAAGTTTTTCCGCCATGAAGTGCGCCTTCTCCCCACGCTTCTCTTGCCTGGTATTATTCTGCATTATTAGTTGCAGCATATGGTACCTTTTCTTTACAGCCCCCCTCTTGATACCCTACAGCTTCAGGTGGAGGAGCTGTAAATGGGTAGGGCAATCTCTGGTCCTTCAGCTGTGAAATCGGTTCAAAAGGCAGATGAACCAATACGGTCAACGACAGGAAATCCATAAGGCAAGGGAAAACTAGTGCATTAAAGATTATAATGATTTTCCTAAGTACAAACCATCATGGCTAAAAACAATAAACAAACGGCTTCTTGTTTTTAGAGTCTCCGTTATCTCTTTTGTTTTATCCATTCGTCACATTTCAGAAGCCTGGAGTCTTTTCGAGTCTTCTTTGTTCGTTGTCCACGACTCCATTCCATAAAGGATTGAAAAAATATAGCATCTGGCCAATATGATCTTAAGTTTGATGATTAAATCTCTAGCGGTAAACGCAGCTCTAGCTTGTCCTATTTTGGATCTTATTTTTCGGGAGTGTGCTCCAGTAGCGTTTAACACTTACTCTCTCGACTTTCTCATTGCGAACATACAATCTTTCCCGGACATTTGCTTTGCTGATGACCATGAATTTTGTCTTATTGGTTTAAAGTAAGACCAGCTACTTCACTGCTATTGACAATTTTGTGCATCATTCTTTGTAGGTCTGCGTTATTATGGGCCATTACCGAGGATATTGTTTATGAGTTAACCGATTAATCACCCAATATTACACGTAGACTAATAAGTTCAATCCGAAAAGAATTCGTTGAACCAAAGAGCGGGAACTGATTTCACGCCATATTAGAGCTTAATAATATTTAAGCCCAGCACAGCGGCATGCAATAATTCTTTCCATTGTTCTTCAAAACGACTCTTTTTCGAAATGTGCTAGCATTGCGTCCATGTGCGCGGCAAAGAAAAGCTCGCTCTATATCATACAATCGCCATTAATAATTATCAAACAATTATTCTTCCAGTACAAATCTTTTATTCAAGTAGCACTAACGGTCGGTCATTTATATTACGAGACGTGATATATCAGCGGTCGCTCCAGAACTGGTCGGTTTATCATACTCTGACGTTGTGTATCCCGAGAGAAAAATAAGGTGCATAAATCAAGAAACCGTTGTGATAATACAAGACAAAAGCGAAACTTTTTGTATGCAAACAGCTCTTGCTTCAAAATTCCGATTTTGACGTGTTTATTAATGAGGAGCATAACTGATTGCGGAAATCCAATTTGTTTTACGCTGAACTGTAGTATTAAAATTAAACATCATTAAAACCAATGACATTTATTATGTTGTATACATAGGCTCGAATCGATTTGGTGGCAACTGAATCTCATGAAAACGCACATTTTCAGGTTTTGAGTACGATTTCAATACACATTTAATTCGAAAAAAATTAAGTCGACTATCACGTTAATATAACAACCTGAATCAGTACGTCTTTCCTGTTCTCTATTAACCCTATCGGTTTTTTATTATGTAATTTGAACAAATGCAATGCAGTTTGTATTAATTTTTCCCTATTATACATATATGGTTCAATTTGCACCAACTAAAGGAAAGCTGATTGTTCTTGTCAAGCTTTAGAAACGCAAAAGTAAAGTCCAGTCAGACTAACAGTGCAGTTACGTCATAGCGTGACATCTTAATCAAGTTCATTACTGGATGTAATAAATTGTTACAGGAATTTTGTTTGTCAGTTTTTTAATTTTAGTGGATTATTAAATTGTTTCAAAACGCCCCAGCGATTTGGTGGCTCTTATTTTCAAACTTCTGGATTATTTCATCATAGAAAAAAATGCGAGAAAACTGCTTTTATCCTTAAACACCATCTCATTTTTATGAACGAGCAATTTAAGTTTCTGAAAATTATTAATTAGGTAGGTACTTATTATGTCTTATTGTTGCTTGTTTCTGGAGGCATCAAAACCGATGATAAACATAAAGTTCAGACCAGTCATATTGCAGCACACGGAATATCCCTATATAAAGCACAAGTACGGACACGAATTTATGCTATGCACGCAGCAGGTATGAAAAAAATTTGAAAGTTTCCTTTTTTCCAAATGAATAAGATAATTTTTGAGTAAACTTGAAAATCTATATGAATTTCACATAGTTTTTGGTTCGAAAAAATTCATACATTTTAATAATTTCTGTTCTTCCTTTATAGGAGAACATGTCACAATATAATGGCTACGCAAAAAATTTACACGAAATCGATGGTATTAATATTTTACATGGATTTAAAAAGTTTAAATTTTGTATTTCAAGCCGGAAATATCTCATGGAACAACCATAAACGACTGACATTTTTGATAGACAAACGATGCCTGATCATTCAATGCAGTATTTTTGGACGAGGCATGGATATTTAGTAAAGGACCGTCTAGAATATGCTGGTAAGACGAATTTCTATAAACAGTTCGGGAAAAATATGGTGAAGAAAATGGATCTTACATAGATGTATAGTTAAATGTAGTACGGATCAGTCACTCCTTATTTGGTTAGGAAACATGTCACAATTTTTTTGAAAAGTGCAAAGGAAGTATGTTTGTCCCTTGCTTTTTAACACATGCAATAATGCGACTCAAAGACAAAACCGGAGAAAAAAATTAATCGAAATATGAAGGCACTCCATAAAAAACGACTCTAGCATTTATTATTACACTACGGAAAATTTGTTTGCTAAACATTCGCGTTGTTTGTATTAAAAATAATTGACGTAAGTTCATCAATTAACTTAGCGTAAACTAGTATGCCGGGATGCGAATTTTATTGCATATTTTTTTCGGAAAGGTCATCACTTATTTGCAAAATTAAACGCAACCTGGCGACAAAAGGATTAGCAATTTTCACTAAACAAAAAAAAAAGCTTTATTATTCCATAATTATTTAATTACTTACGTTACTTAAACCCCTGACCTTTTTAGCAAAACAAATTCGTTGACCTATTTAACAAAACTATATAACATTTATTATGTAAATATAGCAAATAATAACCTTTATTTTAAACGGTTTAAAATATAGCGGAGTAAACTAGATTGTGCAATATTTCCAGCCGCGCTTAATTAAAATTTAATGTACCGTAAAATAACATGGGCCTTCTAAGCAAAGTAAGTCCGCTAAAGATATTAATCCGACAATAACATAATAAGGCAAAATAGCGAGAAAGGATTTCGGATTTGCGGTTTTAATTGATTTTCCTTTAAGCAAGGAGAAAATTGCGGTACACTTAGCCATGCCCCCTTCAGCAAATCGAACTTCCATATTTACTTATCATTACCTTATAAAAAAATACCTTACAAATCTAAATGACGGTGCAATGAGCGTAATCGGACTAATTACATTGATAAATGCTTTAAAAAGTTAACCGGACCAAAACCGAACAAATAATTTTTTCTACTCCCGTCTGTAAAATTCCTAATTATGCACCGATCTAGCGTGCGGAAAGCATCACTTTACCACATGAGTTTCTTGTCCTACGCATCCGAGCCCCGTCGGACATTTCCGAGATATTACCGCACGGGTTTGGGAGCAATCGGATGGGCTTGAATTTTGACGTTTGTCAATACTGACCCTAAAACTAACGGTCGTAGAAAAAGTATAGTATGCAACTCGTTTGTTAAACTATTTAAATCACTCGTTTATTAATCACTCGCTCCGCTCGTGTCAAATAAACTCGTGAGTCAAATGCCGTTTGCCGCACTTGTTGCATAATATACAATTCTTTCCATCTAAATTTTGGCTTAAATATCAATAAACTTCGCGGCAAATATTTGTAACGAGGAACTAACCATACATTTTGTAACCAATTTTCAGCTGCCAATGTAAATGTCAAATTTACTTCAGTGAATGTCAAGTATTGCAACTGAATTATATCATTTACTATATACTAGGAATAGATCAAGCTGGGCAAAATATTTTTTTTATATTCAAGCAGCATCGTCTTGCTGTAATATTAATTAAGAATTTGTTTTGTGTCCTCCTACTGGAGACCAGTGATAAAAGTTCCGCTTTTAGAAGGCATACCCTTTTTTTTTCTTAAGAATTAATACGTTTCAAGTACTCAACTGCAGATTATGAGCTAACAATATGTTGAAAAAATTGTTGCGAAGCCACTTTAACAATTGATTTCTTACTACTTCTCTCGGAAAAAGAATAAGTATTTTGGTTTACCATAAAAAGTTAGAGAGAAAATCAGATTTGTTTAAAACATTATTGTTATAAAGTTTTATAAAAAATAATATCTTTCACAATGACGATACACTACCATCATGATATTTAGCTTTTATAAAGAACTAAACTAAGCAAATCAACAGCTTTTGCAATATATTTGGTATCCAAACTGGTCAGTAAACTTCCTTCACAAAAAACACGTCTACTAACCAAAACTAATTCGAAAGGGCATAAACAATTATTTATAACAAGTTCTTAACTAGGACGTAACGTATTTTATTCTATTCTATTCTAACTACTTATTCCTCAATAAAATAAACATTACCAAATCTTGGTTAGTGGAAATAGTCCATCCCATAGCGCGGATTCCCCGGCTGCTAGGGTAGGTGTGGTAGGCGCACATTAAGGCTCCCTTAGAACTACGAAATGCTCCTCCACCACAGCACTAGGGTGTAGGAGCATCGTGTGGGAAGTCACGAAAGGGAACAAGTATAGATTAATTGGGGTTTGGTGGACGAGGGCTGGACAACCGGAACCTGGACGCCGCGTCCGGAGATGAGATCGCGCCAGACTAAATAGCGTAACGCGAAGAGCCGCCAGAGAAGCTGGAACGTTCACGATCCCGCGCAAAGGATCAATATACACGTTTCGGCGGTGCAAAGTCGGGTCATCGAAAAATACGAGTTAAATTTTGCGCCATTCCAAGCCTTATTCTCTGCAGTCATTTTTTTGCGACCGCCTAGAACTTTATAAGAGTTGTTTCTCTTCTAACCAGCGAATTGCTCCATGCATTTCAATTTGGTAGCTTTGCTGAGATATGTCTTCCTTTTTTAATTACTTGCCATAAATGGACAAAAATAACTCATCAAATATTCTTTTTATTCCAGTGGCAGTTGACTTTTAAATTAGGTATTGTACAACCATCTTAGATTAGTCGCTGATTTTTTTAGAAAAACGTATTTTAAAGTGGCATGATCGCGACTAAAAGGCACTAATCGGTAAAGCATGTTAATAGATGGAGAAAAACATAATCGAACATAAAATGGGATATCAGCTATATACTAACTCTGTTATAATTTTTGAGAAGTGATAAATGGTAATATTAGATACGTTCAAAAAGATAAAAGTATTATCTTATCTTCTACGCGACTTAAAGCTTAGTTCCAGGTTATTTCGATATAGCGACCAGCATTAACGAATAAGGGGTTAAACCACAAGCTTGAAATTACTAGTAGTTTAGTAGTTAGGAGTGACTTTCTTTTAGATTGTTCGGTTGAGGATCGGTTATAAACTCGTTTTTCCGACATTTTTATATTGTGATAAAAGAAAATTGAAGGAAATAAATGAAAACTGTACATAAAACTAGACTGGAAGAAATGCCGGATTAGCATTGAATGAAGAAATCGTATCAGATTTTAAAATCTGGCCTAAATTAATTTGTAACGACCGTTGAACAACTCAGCGAAACTCTTTCAGTAAGTCTACACATCTAACAAAACCATCCACGAAATTTAATCCCGTTCAGGCTTCGGCCCATGAGTCTTGATCGAACGAAGCAATTTAGCAATTTATATGAAGATTTTATCATTTTAAATTGACTGGCACTAAGAATTTTGTGTTGTTAATTTTAAAAAATTCGAAGAACTAGGGAGATGACATAAAAATTGAAAACTAATAGCGAAAATATAAATGTGGGTATGTGTATAAATCCGCCGGTAGTTATTGTTTGAAATAAAATAATAATAACTCGCAGCTATCATGATTTTCGTTTTGTTCTATTTCATACAGTAGAAAAGAATGGAGTACATGCACCAGCGAGCAACGTTTCTGCTACATAGGCTCGGGGACGATGATTTCCATTTCTATAAAGCGAAACGTAAATATTTATTTATTACGTTCGAGGGAAAAAAACCAGGCCACGCTATATTTAAAAACCCGCGTAAAACACATTTCTTTATCCCTATAAGCCAAATGCTTTCACCGTAAATAAAGTGCTGCGAAACGAAATGTCATTCGAATTTATTTATTTATAGCGTATTGCACGTTGGATATTTATTTTGTGGGCTTAACGTACGGGTTTCATTTTGGAACATATGGTTAATGATAATATATAGCGTTGGATGATTTGGGGTACGCTGAATTGACCTGTTTTTTTACCAAGATTTTGGGGAATTTTTGCATGGCGTGTCTCTGTTAAAATTCGTAATTTAGTGAAAAGCTATTTCAAGTAAATGACAACTAAACATGTTGGAATCTACATGCAGTACAAATACATAACATAGAGTTCCTTCCTTTCCGTATTTATTCAACTAACCATACACACCGTTTTTTTTTACTTTTTAATTGAATTGGATCAAATAACGCTTCATATCAATTCATTCGATCGTTCAAATCGAGATAAGATAATCTTTATTTTATCTTTCTACGCTAAAATATTAGCTTTGAATTATGGAAAAAAATCACTAGCGCGCTCCCAGATTCATTACAACAAGGCAAACTCACCCTGTTTTCATTCACCCTCCTATATTTTTTGAGTTGGCGATTGTCGAATAAGAAAGTTTGTTGCAGCAGTGAAAACAAAACAATAGTCATTAGTATACGTATAAAAAAACGAATGTATTAAAAGTGTTAGATCAGATGCTGCAAATTCCTTTCGAGTTCCTGATTTTTAAAACCCGGTTTCTACAATATTTTCTAATATTAACCATGTTAGATTGTGACTGTTTAAAAGCCTCTTTTCTCTATCTCTGCAAGGAAAATAGTGGGGGATGATCGAACATTTACTAAAAATGGCTTTTCCTAGGTTATCAATCGTACTATGAACTATAGAATTGCTTAAATCGCCGCCAAGTGAAGTGTTGGGATATAGGTAATCGACAAAAAATTATCATTTCATAGTCTAATAGAGTTCCAAAGTAAAAACCGCATCTCAATATCTTCATCCTAACCTAACTTAACATTTACCCGTTATAATATTTAGTTTTGTGGCTTAATTTAATTTTTATCCAACAACACTACGCATCGTTCACTTTATTTAATGCTCCGCCATTTTCAATAGGTCAAATTCACCTCACATTTAAATTGCGCTGCTCTGATTGTATTTATTCCATTAAAAACGTCTTTTTAACCCGAACGAGTTCATCATAATGGCCTAAAAGAAATCGAAGCGTTAGGAAAAAAGATATGAGTATTTCAATATAAATTTAATATGAATAATTTAATAATAAAATTAGTTAGTCTTCTACAATTTATTAGGAAAGTAAGTATTAAATTAATATAAATAATAATAAATAAATGACATTTTATTTCGATATTATATATCGTAACTAATAAATTAGAGTATTATTTGGTAAATAACATTCCTTAAAGTAGAAATGCTTCACAAAATTCAAATTTTTTTTCGATTATTCATACTTTAGGTTAGGATAAAGACATTGAGATTCGGTGTTCATTGTGTTGTTGGGTACTTATTTTTTTTGTTTCCTTTTTTATGTCAAAAAACGCCCTCTGCAGCACTACAGCAGCAAAAATATTTGGTGTTTTTGGACACTTTTCAATTCCGTGTTTAAAATATTTTTCATTTATAACTTAGTTCTCATGCAATAAACGGGAAAAAAACGAGATAACGCGTTCGTCTTTTAAATCTACAACATGTTGAATCTCTCATTTCTTGCCTTTAACCTTCGGGTCATTTTAACTGTCATCTTGACGATTATAAATTAAGGCGGCTATGAACTTCGCGCACAAATTTGTGCCATAAAGTCAATACGCTAGGTTCAGTTATGTTCCATAAGCTGAACATTGCGCAGCAGATTCTACAACTGATGTACCGTAACCGGGCAATAAGGAACTACGGCTAATTTTTTCGTAGAGTATATAGGTAATTCGACAATAAAATTTGTCTTGCTTGAGCCAGGAGCAAAATTACTCATATTTACTTCCCTGTTAAAAACTGAAGAGTACGATAAGGCCATTGATTCATGAAAACCCAATCCGGGATAAAAAAAAAAGGTGTGTAGGATCACGATTACCTATTTCGGCATTAAACATTCGTTTAGAGTTTAGAATATATAAAGTATACGCACGAGGTCTTTTTCTTGTTTTTGTTTTTTATTTTATTTATGTTAAATGTTGCACATGAAGTTAAATATTTTTTTTACTTCCTTCTCTAAAATATGAATAAGAATAAGAAATAATAAAAGAAATAATTAATCTTGAGAAAAGTGTCATTTGACGGGTCTGGAAGCAATCCGATGTTTTCGGAGATGTTTAACTTTTGCCAATTCTAACCAAACTTGTTGCCTAATATGCCATTATCAAATGTTTTCCTAATGTTGTTTTGCTGGTTCCTCAACTCATAAACGCAAAAGAAAACCAAGAATACCTTGAAACTGCATAGGAGAATTGGAATTTACTTTGTATTCATTTCAATGTAAGAAAATATTTCGAGTCAATGAATTGGCAATGTGGTGCAAATCCTACTTTTTAAATATTAGTGTGTATTGCTTTCAGTAACAGTCCCGGGAGTGCCGCACCAATTCATAATTCATCACCTAATTATCGCACTCCGCGTTGACTTCTCGATATAAACAGTTGAGTTTACTTTTAGATGACATGACACTACGCACGCACAAACACACACACGTACGAAAACCGATTAAATTACATCGTTCCCATGTTGAATTCTTTATCGCTTACGGAGAAATAAATGTATTTTAAAATTGGACAAACTGAACACCTGAGTCTTGTATAAGTCAATAAAAGAAACTAATATTAAATATCAAAACTTTTTTACGTGGCTTGTACTACAACTTTGTGCAGAAGGGAAGAACTAAAGGAATAATGTTGAGGTCGTATCAAGACAATTTTGTTGGTTTAAAATCCAGACGAATATAAGTTAAACTCGATATGAAGAGCTAAAGAAACAATATTTAAGTAGATATTTATAGGAAAAGTCCAGAACTCTTAATTAATTAGTCCGTAAGGCATTGTATGCTCTACAATATAGACTGAAACTGTAGCCCTTTAAACATAAACCCACATCCTTGAAACCACCAAAAATAACTTTACCGCAAACCTAGCAGCTGTTATCTGTCCGATGAAAAGAAATTTGTACAAAAAGCTGATACATAATACAAGTCGGCCGGCTGCCTGAAACCGACCGGTTTTTCACCTACGCGAATTTAAAACGTGAACCTTTCAGGTTCTAACAGGTGTCCGGTTCCTTAGAGTGGAACTAAATCCCTATATTTTGGGTGCGTCTCATCAAATTTACCATGAAAACCCAAAGTTGTAGGCTGGTAAGACGATAAGCTGAGAATTATTGCCAAACTTAATGCCACATTTTCCTTCGATTACTTATAAAGTCCGTTTCCATTATAAATTCGTTTTCATATTGTTTTTACTTTTCAAACATAATCAAGGTTAAGGCTTTGCTTTTCCTAAATTTTTAAAGACGATTTGTTAATATAGTGGACATTTAGGTGCACACCTAAGCAAGCAGTGACAATGACAGTTCAGCCGCTCCTTCCCCACGTTTTCCAAAACCGACATT